TCACTGCATTAACACACCACAATCCCCGTGTCTAGTATACTGTTTCCTACATTACTTGACATTTTTAATTAGGCGGTTCAAGGTTGGCTATTTTAAATACAATTTAGGAAGTGCTTTCAAAATATTTCGGCTTTTGCTACCGTTCAGCGTCACTTTCGCTAAACTACCCGCCTATGCATAAAATAATTATTCTTTGCCATCTGCGGTGCAAACGCATATTTACTGCTTTAGTAAAATGCACTGGGGAAATTGCCTTGAATTTTGTTAATTGACTTTTTTCTTGTCTGGATGCTTGACCTTCAGTGCATTTGTCGACAGCAGACATCATTAGGTGCCTCGAAATAGCCCACGACAGTTTGTCACGTCGGGCCCCACCGAGACATCTATCGGAGGTGGGTGATGTGTGCGCGAAGCTCGGCAATTCCAGACTTTCTTAGTCCCCAGTTCTGATGAAAAAGGTGCCAGTATCATTATGGAGCTAAATCAAGACATGACATCTTATTCCTATCTTACTCGCCAAAAGTTTGCCTGCGAACAATTACTGATCTCTGAAATGCTATGCATGATATCCTCATTAAAAGAATGTAGCAACCTGAGATTGTCCGCAAGGAGATATTATCTTAAATAGGATTGTGGAACGTAAGTACATACCCAGATGTGGAATTTAAAAGTCGCTTGTGGTCATGTTCTGTTTACCATTTATAGCCATTAATTAATAACTGTCACAGATAAGGCGAGTGCCTGAAAATTCCAAAATCTCGTAAACTAGACGTCACAGTGTCATTTACTTTTCTACTTTAACACAGTAGCAAACAAGCACGAATGTCAGATTTATGTATCGGGTGGCATGTTGGTGTAAACACTTTCAGCGGGCGGTATTCGCAGCATTTAAAATCGTACGTTCGGAGATGCTATGGACCCGCAGGCGGTCTCTGAGCTGGAGACAACACCTAATTGATAGAGTGTCTCCACTGGCCTAAATCTTCATCGCTCATTAAAGAGTGTGTAATGTTTCCATCCTGGTACCTTTCGGCAGTCGTAATATTTGAATTATACAATTGTAAATGACTTCATAAATACTCCGTCTTGGAGGTGTTAAAACGCGTCAGTGTAAAAACTTATCTTAAGACTGCGTTTCGGTGTAGTGGGGATGCTAAAAAATCTGATACATAAGTAAGCACATTTGAGCCTAATATAGAGGTAAGAAAGGTGAAGTTGGGACCAAACTTATGCCCGGCATCAACATGGATGCACATTGCAGATGCAAACTGACATCAAGTAGAGAGGTGAACTTTTTGCCCTCTTGAAAAGATGTCACGTACAGTAAAATCAGGCCAAGCCCCAAACATATTTCATTAAAGGGCAGCGCCCAGTACCCTATTTAGGCAAGACGCTTTTGCTGTCTGTTTCCTTTTGATTTATTTGCACATTAATATGACCTATTTGACACAATATCGAAAATGTTGTGGCAGAAACTCGCATGAACACTTAACTGGAGATTTAGGCATCACCTTGAACTTGCTTCTGAAAACGTTTTCAAATTTTATCGTGCAACGGATTGACAAAATGCTTGAATGTTTAGTCGTACTGTGCCACTCTGAGACTGCCATGATGACAAGAGAAGGCATAATGCTCGGAGAGAATACATAGTTTTAACGCATAAAAGGGCTTGTGTTACTGACATAATCCTGAGGCCAGGCTGCTCGACAGAGCCCCTGAGAGGCCCGTTACCAAAACAGAGAGTCAGACAAACAAGTAAAGCACTACAGTACCATTGCTTTACTGAGGTTTTGCATAAGTACTTTGTTGAATAGCCTTGAGTGGGAAATGCTTTTGCAGCAGACTTCAAGCGCATTTTAACAGAAGCCTCGCAAATACAAAAGTTCAAAAAACATTCGACTGAGTGGTACCTGGCTGGCAAGAGCAACACATGGGAAACACTGCTTCACTTCCTCTTCTACCTTCTGCTTGGCGAATTCGCAGTAAGTTTAAACACAAACACTAGAGGGGTTGTAACAAGGTTTTTCAATGCATAAATTAACTAGACTGCATCTAAAGCAAGATGGGTTAGGTTGAATTGTTTATCTTGGCAGAGATCGAAGCGCTTCCGGTGCGAAGTCATTACAAGCTTTTCAATAGTACAAAAGAGTTTACTAGATTGGGTTGACTTTCTAAATATTATCAAAATAAGATGCAAATGGATGAAATTGTTACAAAGGCAGACGCTCGCGTTCTTTAGTGATATTCGACGCATGGTAGACGAAGAGTGCATAAATAGGTAATACCTCCTTAAAGTTCCATATTAACTAACCTGATGGTTGGCTGAAAGAATTGTAAATCAAAATGACTTTTTATTTGGAGGAACTCAAGATTTTATCTTGAGTTTCATGATAAATAAGCTGAAGGTAGCAAGCCTGAAAAGCCAAATATTGGCACTAGTATACTCTGCCAGGACCTTATCTTTAAAGAGTTTGCAATTAATGTTTAGATTTGCCTTAAATATTTGTGCATCTACAGAAATACACAACTGAGAAATACCCAGAGGCGGTGCTGTGCAGCCCTCAACTATGAAAAAAATGATTTAATTGATGCAAGGTTAAAAAACTATTAAGAATGTGTCAAAACCCTACAGGATAATACTCCGCTGCTTGTCTGACTCTCAGTTTTGCTAAAGGAGCCACTTAGGTGCTCCGCCAATGTACCTTAACCGGGTGGGCTGGTCTGCAGGCCAAGCTAGTACCTCCAATCTTGATTTCTACTTCTAGGTGGTAAACCTTAGCGGGGAGGAAGAAATGCAGGCGTTGCTGATGGGAGAATCGGTGAAGACCCCAACAGAAGGGCTGAAAATTACGTCTAACTTCAGCAACTACCCCAGTTCTGTGTTCTTCAGAAAGCTTTTGACAAAGAGAGTGACACTAGCTGTGACCCACCTAGAAAAGTTTCGTCACGGGAATATCTACCGTGTCTGCATGAAGATATTAACTATGTGAATACGCGATACCTTTTCCACCTCTTTACTAGCTAGATAGAAACCAGACAGACATGACTGGGCAGCTTTCATCTGAGAGCAACGTGGCACGGAGAAATAGCCGCAAAACCCTGCCTCGCCCTTTGGTACGTGACTTTACTTTTAGGTCAGTATTCCTAAGACTGGCCATGGACGCGTGTAATGGCCGGCACATTCCCCATCCCCAAATCCAGTTCCCATATAGGAAGAAAGTCGATCCACTTCCAGTGACGTTACGGTCAAGTGTCTCCTCATTTGCATGAAAATTCAATGACTGGCACGGTTAGCTCGTGGCTGTTTTTCTGACAGCACCGATTACGTTGTGATGGGTAATGCTGGAGATTGACGCAGAGGAGCGCCGGGAACGACGCTCAAAAGAGGAGGGAGGATATGTAATACATTGGCCGTTTATCTACTCATCAGTTTTGATAAAGAGGTTACCCAGGTGATCCGCCATTGTGCCTTCGTTGGGTGAGCTGGCCTCTGAGACATCCCAGTGGCCCCAAGCCCTACCGTACACTGTCTTAAAGAAAAACTTGGGACGCTACAATGATGCTGAACTATGTTCATAAGTTAGAAGATTTTTCAAGTTTAATCAATCGTGAAAATCGTGGAAAAGGAGATAATGTAGGTTGGGGTTAAAACACGCCTTATTCGTCATAACGAATGCTGACCCGTAAACATTATTTTATTTCTTACCACCTCATAATTCCAAGGTGTAAAAGCAATATAAATGTAAAGTGAAATAGAATCCTTATTTCCATTTGCACGATTGAATCTTTCCAGGACATGTGTAGACACGATTCCATCAGTGTTGCACTGAGGTCAACTATTACTGCATTATAAGAGGATACACCTCTGAGGGCCATTAATGGCCATCCGCACTTTACTCTCTTCTGCTCTAAAGATTCTCTGATGCCTAACTAGCTTGTACTTCCCAGAAAACTGTGCATTTAGTGCATAACATGCGGTCTATAAACAAAGATTCCAAGGCACATGTAGGCAAAACTATCAGAAGGAGCGAAGGATAGCAATTTTGTCTCATAATCTTTTACATTTAGGGGATGCCAGATGAGGTAAGAGGGGTCACACACACTTTTTGTAATGTGGAGAGATTTGAAAAATATGCTGGTTAATTTTCAAGGCAAGTATTCAGTTACATGCAGCCTACGCATACGTTTTTGTGATGAGTTCCGTTCACAGGAAAAAATGCAAGACCTTGTGAGGTAACGGAGGATTTAAATGGTACCATATCCAGAGTTGCTACGGTTTAAGCATCAAAAAATGCTTGTAATGAAAAATCTAGGTTATAAGAGTGTCTGTGATATAAACAAGAAATTGAACTGTGAAGAAAAATTTGTGTATTACAATCTTCTACGTGTTAGGTGACACCGGTAACCCCTTGAGTACATAAGTCCTGAAGGTGGAAATAGCTGATTTCTGCGGCTCGTGTACAGTCGGAGTGCTTTCAGTAGATTTGTCAGTCCATCAAAAGTGTTCATTGGGCCTATGATTAAAGGAATAAAAAATGCCACTTTGAGGTAGAATTTTAGGGAATTTCTAATCAAGCTCTATAAATTATTCCAACGTTTGCGTCCCTTTCCAAAGATTGCCATTTATTCAATGCAATGATCATTTAACCCGAATGCGGACTTTGGCCTGAATGCATGCTTTTTGATGTCTGGTCAACGAGTTGGAATTTTCAAACGTTATTAACTGTAAAGGTTGCGCTTTGGGAAAAGAATACCTTGCTGAGATCGAGATTAAAGTTATTTAACAGAATGCTTTATTAAACCGTCTTCCATGCTTTGTTTACGATCTGAAGTTTGTGGGTCATAAACATACCTCTTAATGAGCTGTAAGTAGAACGGAACCTAAAGATCCCTTCCACGTACCACTTTGTAGGATAGATTCGCCGTATTCATATTAGCAAACCTGATAAATCAAAATGTGTTTTAAAATGTTTATTGAAAGATCGAACGGAGTATTGCAATGCCATGATGCAGGTGCTTTTTGAATGGGAGCCAAGGGCAAACGTGAGTGGGCAAAACATGGGAACTTCTCGGTGCTTAATTAGAAGGATATACAAACAAACTAATTTATAAGAAAATGTTTAACCAACTTAATCTTACAAGTAAAATATCAAGAAGTATGAATGAAACGCTCTTACCAAGTTTGAAATGATGCACAAACCCTAATGAATTTCCCGTTCGGATGATTAACATTTCGGTTATACAAAAACCTAATCCATAAAAGGCGAGCTTTATGATTTATGCCTTATCTAGCGTCAGACGTGGACTAAGGAATTCAGCCAGTCTTTGTAGGAAGGGCTAATTTTAGCATCATATAAAAACTGAAGTGCAGCTAGGATTGCCAAAGCCTTCCCTACTGTTACGCCTTGGGCTTCTGTTAGGTCAAACATTCAAGTCAAAATGTTTAAGGTGCAGAAAACTAAAGCAAACTGAACTGCAAAGCTATTTTTTGTGTTTTTGAGATAAACTAATTATGCATATTTTAAGTCAATAAATATAAACATTTCCACGTCCTCTGAAACCGATGTTTTAAACAAGATGAGATGCTCTCCTTGCCCCAATTGAGAAAACAGTGGTTGTCAAACCCGTCAATTTGCATACCTAGACTTGAATTACATGCCTGCAAAGCGGAATGAAACGCTATCAAGGAGCTGTTGGGACAGATTTTAATCGTTCACACTTGACAGATCGCATTTGGAGATCACACGATTGCGGTACTGCAGAAAAAGTGGACACTTGACATCGCGGATCAATTTCACTACAACTATATCACTTTCTATCTGTGGAAAAAGTGCCTAGTTCAGTTATTTACCGTTGCTTTTGCTTTATATTTGCAGCTAGGAGTGGAAATACTAAGTGAAAAGTCAGCGCTTTGCCTTCTGTAGGCAGATACTACCTGCTCGGTGGGAGATGAAACAAGCTGGAGAAAACTGCTTAACTTGTGATCGACGTCTGCTTTGAGTTCATTTCAGAGTAAGAGCATGCAAGAGCAAAAATATCACGAAAATGCATTTTTTTAATAAGAAGCTGTTAATTTTCACAAATGCTCACACGACACCACATGAAAAAAGCAACTTATTACAACTTTTTTTAAATATGCTCTTAAAGTGATTCACATCCTCCCCAGTGCCAGAGTTACTGGTTAATTAGAATGAGATTGAGACTACTTAAGTATGTTTTACAAGCGTCTGAAATAACTTCAACCTTTGATTAAATGGCGGTAAATCGACTAGTTATTGCAAATTGAAAATGTAAATCTAAGAGGGGTTTTTAGGAGCTCTCTAGATTTACCTCTTAAAAGCTTGGGTGGATACCCTTCCTTCGCATGGTACGAACCACGGTTTCGCTCAGTCTTTGAAAAGGAAGGCGAATCTACTAATTAGGCAAAATTGCAGAAAATGTTAAAGTAAATCCTTAAATGAGTTCTTTCTTCCAAAAACGATTAATCCCCAAAGTTTTCAGAAAAAAAGAGTGGAACATATTAGGAATGGTTAAAGAGAGATAGTTTGTACACCAGGTAATCAGGATTCCAAATATTTATAGTGGAAATGAATAAATAATCATCTCTCCATTAGCGTCATCCTGTCCCTTTGTGGGAATTTTTTTAGTTTAAAGAGGCAGCGTGTCCCTTAAAAATTGACGTCTACTAAATCTTTGAGGTTGCTGCTGCTGCTGCTGCTACGGCGTCAGGACAAGGCAGGTGTGTGTGGTGGACGAGTGAACCGGAGGCGCGGTGACCTCAGATATACAGCCGCACGCAGTAGCACACACACACGCGATCTCTACAACATTGGAGATGATTAGAATAATAAGTGTGGATTTGATCCTCGTGTTTATTAAATTTGTTGGCTAGTTTAGCCTCGTCCTTGTTTGCAGGGCCATATAATATTCATGACCTCATCATCTCGACAGTGGCCTTCGCTTGGTACCTACACTTAAACGCATGAGCCTGATAAAACCTCATTTACAATGGATACTGGGAGCTGTAATTTACTATGCTTTAATGTGAATGAAATTATTATAAATTCGGGCGACTGAGGTCATGAGAATTGAGTAAGCATCGTCAACTGGATGAGAATTGCTAGAGGGTTACTTTGGACGTTGTGAGTGGGTGAAAACACTCTCCTTTTCCCATTACAACGAGTCACATTTGTTGTTGAACCAATAGCAAGTAGTGACAGCTTGTCTGTTTTGAGTAACCCAAGACAAAAGCCTAGGCTAGGCTTTCTATTGAAATTTCTGCAAAAGTAACTCCTCTTGGAAATTTCCCCTAGTTAGTACCATTTTGCAATGATTAAAACTACTGTTCATTGGAACACTTTCCATTAAGGGATTTTGGACTACTGCGGAACTAGGGAATGCTGCCGCATCTACTGATGTTTTCTGCAATCAGTATCCATTAAGTTGAAGTAAACAGACCTTTAGCTAATCAAAGGACTCCTGAGAGTTCCAGCAATGTGTGACGACCTCTCTGTTACCATCACTCCCTTTCCAGTGTCTTCGAAATGACCACAGCACACTTCATCCATCCTTCCAACTATGGCGCTCAAATATAAATAATTCCCTAGGTGTGCAATGACCTGCTGACCGTCGTATTCTGGCATAACTGATCCTTTAATCAAATTTAAATCACTACCGTCAGTCGTAAATACTGCGTAGGTCAGTGTGTTAGATGACTTGTTAAATAACCTCCGATAAAATAGTGCAATAGAGTACTTGCTCTCTGTAAAAGAAAAAAGCAGATGAATCCCGTGGGTGCCATACCTCCAAGTGGGCTAGCATCACTCCAAAGCCTTTAAATATTATCCATACACTGATTCATTTTGCAAGCATTGCTAGTATCTAACGCTTGTGAATGAGAAAACCCACACTAAACCTCGAAACAAACATCGCACTGCAATAGCAATCATTATGTATACCCTACAGATGTGTCGCAGTTGACAGCAAGAAAAGGCGTTATGTGAGCTGAGGTGGCACAAAACGAGCATTAGTCTAAAAGTTCCTGATGCATTGGATCAAAAACACGGTTCCGATCTTTGACAGGTCGGATTATGTGCTATCGGGTCGCGTCTTCTACAGCCACGTGCCCATCGATTGGCAGGCGAGGTAAAGGCCGGAGAAATGGGAGACCAATGGAAGGCGGCCGAGGAGGCGCTTATCCCTTCCGCGCACCGCTCTTCCTTCGCCAGCGCTTTCGATGCGCTTGGCCCTCGTGTACGTAGGTAGGCGCGCACACACCCAGTCGCCAAGACAATGAATGGAGTGGGTAATCTTGCGGCGGGGGTGTAGGTCTGGCTTAGGTTCAAACCCAGTTCATACTGCAATAGTAGGTATGAAGAAAGTATGGCGAAGAAAGGCCAACACGTTTGTACTAAAGCAACTTTAAGTTGCTATGAGCCATCACAGGGACCAATTTTGGGAACCATGTCCATGGTCGAAAATTTGTTTTCTTTCCCCTAATAAACGGCTTGGTTAGCGTTTGCAAAAAAGTTGCAATAAAGCCTGCAGACATTTTTGTTGGTAGTGTTTGCTTGTTCATTGCTGAAACCAACCATTCCATTACACATCAATCGAAAGTGTGGAAATGCTACAGACTTCACTGCTAATTTTACCCTATACCCCATGGAGTATTTTCATAGATGAAACTCGAATTCCTCCAAAATTTGGGTGAAAAAATACATCAGAATGAAGTAAAACAGACAACTAGTGTATAGTGACTAAATTTAAGGCATCGTAAAGGACTTAACGACAGAGAAAAATCGAGAAGTACTTGTCACCTGCCCTTGTACTCATGCTTCCCTAACAGTCACACGAATTTTAGTGATCACTAAAATTCTTATAAAAGGTATCATTTCCACCAAATTGCCATGAGAGTGACACTAAGATATGAAAGTGGGACTAACAAACTACCTGTGATGAAGTGTGAACAAATTCGATGAAAGAACACAATAAATACACGAAACATCGCCTAGGGGAAACCAAAGTGGGGGTGCCACATCGAGCAGGCTTAGACGGACGTTCCCAAGTAAAGTGCAAAGAAAAAGGATGAAAGATTACCGATTTGTGAAGCTTTTGCATTATAATATGACAAGAAGTCTTGACAGTCAACACCATTAGCATTGCCTCATGAATACACAAAAATTGTTGGGTTTCGCGTGGTTGTCATGATACAAAGTGTTTTAAAGAAAAAAAACAAAAAGTAGAGAAAACAGGAAGAAGTAAGGCAAGATTGATTAAGGGGTGAGAAGAGAAAGACTAACAAAACCACATTGTCGAAGGGTTGGAAAGTCAAGGCGTGTGCTAAAAGGTGGGTAAGGGACTAGCGTGATCAACGAGGACATTATCGGTAGAATACAAATCGGTGATAATCTACTGAGGGCAAGTGGATGTCGGAAGCTCTTCATTCACTCAGACGTTTATCAAGAGCAGCCTGAATATTCGAGAATCGATCAGCGCCAGTGTAGTCGATTTCACCACGCTCCCAGCTGCCCTGACGATCCATGGGAGGCAGGGACAGTGATTGTGAGCGTAGAATGGGACCCTCGCTCACTTCAAGAGTCGCCAGATGTCCAACTAAGCCACCCTATAGCGAAAACGGGAGAGGATTTAACATCGGTTACACTGCTAATAAAATACCGATACCTAACTACTCACTTCTAAACACGCACTCACACATGCACGGCAAAGGAAAAATAAAACAACTTTATACTTGAATAAGGCTAGATTTTGGTCAGAAAGTGGTCCAGCACCCATTTCAAAAACACAAAAAAAGTGGCAGGATGGTCTACTCAAAGAAATCTCACACCAAAAAACGCAACAGGAGAAAAAAACTAGTGCTCCCTGTAGCGGTTGTAGTAATCGTCTACTGGTAGAGCTGCGAATCACAAATTGTTTACAAACGTGAATGAGACGAACTCGTCGAGCTGGCTTCAACCCCAGTTCGAGCGGTAGTTATGCGCCCATTCGAACCGGAAATGGAGGCCACCTCCTGCGATCATGCACACTCACCCGTGCTTTAGCGGTTATAGCTAAGGCATGCAAAAATAATAATACTTACCATGTCCTACAACATGAAAGGAAGGCGAAATTACAGTTCCATGAAGAAAAGCAAACACAAGCATAAAAGAGACTGCCAGTAGCGTTAAGGCAGGAAACGTCATTATTATAGTTCCATAATAAAAGAATAATGCAACAACATCCAGGATGAAGTGATAGAAGATGACCATACGACACAATAAGTGAGCTTCTTTTTCCCAGTAAGACTCACTTTGGTAGGTCGGGGGCGATCCTAGCATGGAGTAGACGTGAAATTTGCATTAAAATATAGCTACATGACTTGTGCTAAGAGGTTGGACCAACTGATGAAGTTTTGTAGCTTACACATCTGTGCCATAAACACAACCATCGCGGCTGCAAAATTAATTTCGGGGTGTCCAGTGTCGTCTAGGCGCACCATTAGTGGCCAACAGACCCGAGAATGGCAAATATTGGTATAGAATGGGATAAGTCTCGAAAAACACATACAAAGCCAATGCAACGGGAGTGCAAAAGCATTTCGAGCTCAATTGCGAGGGCAGTGCATGATAAGAATATGCACAGACGAGGAGGAAAGTGATCTTACAACAGTAGGACTGATCTTTGGTTTGATGTCAGTGAAGAAGAGATGCCACCAAAAATTGAGAAACCGCAAAGACTGTGCACTGATCTCGTCACAAGGCGTGAGACTGCCGGCCTCGGGGTTGACCTGCTGGTGCCAGGGCTTCGCCGCGCCAATGAAGTGGACAACACGGATTTGTGAGCCGAATCGCTTCATAGCAGGCGGGTAGGAATAGAAAGCCTGAGAGATGCAATTGTAAGTGAAGGGAAGGTGACGACGAATATCCTTGGTAGACCAGTCCGAGAAGAAGAGGTTCAACAGACCCTGCAAAATGCCACCACGGGGGCGAATGAGTATGCGGCTTACACCACTAGTAGGCGTTATTTTTGTTACTTGTTATAAAACTATCAGGCATAATATGGAACAAACATCTTGAACTCCAACTTGAAATGACAAATTAAAAAGACTACCCGGTAAGCCGACTCGTCCCCTTATTGTTCGGTGCATCAAGTGCCTTTATAAATAAAAAATTCTCAAATCGATCAAAGATGCCTATTAAAAAGAATGAGGAATCAGATAACACAAAGAAAAGTCAAGTTTGTGCAAGCAAATGGTTACTTGGTCACCACCATCAAAACTGCCTTCCGAGAGGGCAAAGTCAAGGAGAGCTCGGTAGGTGTCTAGGCTGGGAGTGTATACAAAAACACCGGAATTGAAACAATCCGGCCAGCCCGGATCCGGAGCGGCACTTAATTCCTCTCGTTCAAAAAGATCGTCGATGTTTTGCAAGACCTGATAAAAAAGCAAAGAAAAAATACTGGAAAAGGTAGTAAGAGGAACGCTGAATTGCGCAAGAAAAACTTCGCCCATTGGGAATATAATATCTACTAATAAAGAGGGCAAAATTGAGCATTGGGATCAAAATAAAACTAATGATAAATAAGCAGAGGCGGTTTACCAGAGTATCTGCATCCATAAATACGCATTTAGAATATTGCGTGAGTCGCCAGCAATGAAGCTTCGTAAAGGTAACACCAAGATCGGGCCTTGAAAGAAGCTTGAGATTTTCCGAATCGCTGCTATCCAAGACATCAACCAACTCAACGTGGTCGAAAAATTCTTCCAGGGTCGCCCTGATAAATATCATACAATCTAGTTGGTAGCTAACCTCATCTTATCCGAAACGGAGTTAGTAATCATGCAAACGAGTTCTTTGGTAGTTCCTGCTTTTCGGAGAGAGTCCGCCAAGACCAAGGCACCACAGCAGTACTCATCATTAGTGGCAAGTGTTACGTACGCTTCGGCCACTAAAATAAAAAAAACAAAATGAATACCAGAAGAAAAACCTGGAGCACATTTCACAGGGAACACACTCTTTGCACGCAAACGCCGACTGGGAGAGCTTGGAGTGACCGGTTCCACAACTCCGCTAATTCAGATGGGTGTTGGTTAACTTAAACAATTATTAAATTAAATGACGAACAGATAAAATGATAAACACCAAGCACTTTGCAGCAAGTCTCGTATTGCATGCCCAATTTACATGCGAAAGTATAAGAAAATAATTTGAATTAAACGAAATTTTCAACAGCCACAAATATCGGATTTTGGTTAACCAGTAATTTTCCCCAACTTGTTTGAATTATTATATCCTTTAAAGTATTCCATTCGACAAGCAAAAGCAAATGGCACTAGATAAAGGAATTTGAGAGTTGATTATCAGCACATCATTGTAGTGATTCGGCATTTTGTTTACCCGAGCATGTGGCGTTCTGGACCACCGTGCCATTAGCCTCCCCACCCTTCTATATGTCATTTATTTATGTTCTTCCGTACCACTTTGGCTTGGCGCGACTTTAGTGAAGACTGGGTTTGCTGCATTGGTGACATTTCCCTAAAGGATAACGGAACCTTACCTAATTACTAGGCTTATTCGGGAGCATTCATCAAATTACAGCTAACTGCAAAAGGAAAAAGAAAACAATTTAACGTTCATAGCAAAACAAAGCATTACGATGTTTGGAAAATGATTTTGTTCAAAAATATAGTAAAAGATATACTTAGAGGCATTTGCTTGCCACCCTAGCATCACCTTGTGTAAGCAGCAGAGGAAGCATATAGCGTGATGTGGTAAATTCTGCGCTTCTCTCTTCTACTTGTATTTTCTTACTTTTGGTACGAGAAAAGTACGTAGAAGATGGCGTCTTAACCCAAGCAGTGAATTGGGAGTTTACAGGCTGTCAACATTTAAAGGGGGTCAGAGTTCATTTTTTAAACAGGGACTATGGGCGCCCGCTCCGTCAAATAATTGGCGCAATCTAACCTCTTTTGTTATAAAAAGGCGGACTTCAGCAAACATGTGTCACAATGAAACTGCGAACTCAACAATGTAAATAATCTTGGGATGTGGATGTTCTTTTGTGAATGGGTAGTTTATGTTTTATATTTTCTGCCGAAAAAAGCCATCCGATTTTCCCATCTTCCACTTTATTTAGACTTTACATCCCAAAAAATTTCAAATGTGAGAAAGATAGTGAACTAATCTGTTCACAAAAGCCAGATAAAAATATACTTTGCAAAACACTGACACTTATTTAGTACTATAATAAGTATTAAAAATTATTGTAATCCGGAAGTCATAAATTACAATGAACGTGACTTGTTTTCTTCACTTTCGATTCGGATTAAGCCAAGGTAAATCAATGCTATACGTTGATGTGATCGGTATGAATTTTTCAATGAGACGGGTGGAGAACTCACGTCATCAAAGGATTGCAGAAAAATTGTTGATGACTACTTTGAAATAATTAATAGTCATTGCAAATGCTTTTAAGAATTTTGTTAAAACCTAATAAACCAGCTATCCATAATTCCAATTAGTACTTCATACCGGCATGCAAAATTTAACCTTCCGGCCGTTGAATTTTCCAGGTTAGCAAGTCGTCAACCAAAAATGGGGCTGAAATTTTTGAGATGAGAATTACCTTGGTGAAATGTTGTTGGACTGATATCCCTGTGCTTGCCTTGATCTCATACACTTCGCACAAATTTAAAGAGGGTGGAGTTGAAGTAGGCAAACTGGAGGCAGTTTTTGTGGATTTATCTTTTAGCCGATCTAATATCCATCCACATGGGTGAAAATCCCGCACATATGATCATCATCTAATGTTCCCTCAAGCACATACAAATTAACCAAAAGAACTCAAATCCCAGCGCAATGTACGAAAACTTGGAATGTAATTCAACAATGCATACCTTGTCGGATGCGCATGCCTTCTAGCACTCAGAGAAACTTTGCAATCAATTTAAAAGTTTTTTGAATCAAAAAGTGGGAAAGACTATAGATGGGAGTGTTGTCCGTTACCAGATATTCAAAAATAAAATATTAGCGTGTAATGCGATTTTCTTAGTTTTGACATTCAAAAACCCAAGTATATACATTTGGGCGTAACTTGTTTAGTGTGGTTAGCTCAAATGGACATTGTTACATTGCTATTGCCGTTAGGTGCTGCTTAGTCGGATAATAATGACACATCAACTTTTGATTAAGCATAGTTAAACAACGCAACACTGTACTGGCCTTAAGCATGTCCCTCTCGCAAGGTAAATTCACCCCAAACGCATAGCGTCGATTGTTCGGGGGGGGGGGAGGGGCCTTAAAGAGGAAAAATGCATTTAACGCTTGGATGGTTTGTTCCATTCTGCGTTTGATTATGCGACCACTTAAGTCTCCGCAGATCGTGCTTCGTTCGGCGGGATGGCCTCCGCACCATGTCACCACTCTTTCATCCTTCTCTACACCGGGAATATATTTTCGGTCATGCTACTGTAACTCTCCACGACTTCAGGGTAAACACAATTTAAACATTTTCAAAATGTTTGTACGCGGCTGTCGATAAGGTGGCTAGAGCATGGGACTATCGTAAAAATCAGGGGAAACGCTTTATTGGCATTAAAGTACAATTTTATGATCCCAGGTGGGACAGAAATTGAACTTTAAATTTATAAATAGTAGCAATGTGCGTACCATAAAAGGAGGCAGATTATTTCGCGCTCAAGTTTATCGCTCACTGCGCCCGTGATGGGCACTTATAACATGGACTGGATGTTATCTCTCGTGCATATTAGGTAGCTAATCAAAAAAAGGACAACAGGGTAATGCATCTTTATTTCCACCTAATTAGAGTAGTCAGTGTTTGATGGGAGCCTTTTTGCATGATTCTCTTAATTGGGGTGGGATTATTGGATCAACTGGTTTTCCTTCGAAGGTGTTATTTAAAGCCCTGAGCTAACGAAGACGAAAAGAAGGTTGTTTTGTAGCGCGTCGAGATTTTCCCAAAGACGACATAACAATAGGGCAGAATATGCACTGCCGGCGTTAAGAAGGGCTGGGGGACTACTGGCATGGTGCGGTTACCACGCCGCCGGGCGGAGGTGCAATAGCGGAGGCCTTCAGTGCTCACGAAACAAAAACGAAGTGTTAGACAAATAACGAAGAAAATCCGGTAAAAGATAAAGCAAGGAAGTAAATTAAACGTCGACACACGAACTGAGAGCAAGGAATACCCTCGACAGCAAATAATTTTTATTTCCTCCAAATGACTGATCACACACCTTGGAACAGTAGGAACACTAACTTTATGAAAAAGGTATCATGAAATCCAAAACACCCGAAAAGAACATGAAATCCGAATAATAAAGTCTATACTAAAAGCGGCAATTTATAACTATCCGGAAGCAACTTACTTGGCATTAATATTTCTACCCGTAAAAGGCACGTCCTTTCACATTATGCATGCGAAAAGCTCGCATTAAGCCTTTCTTGAACCAATGTTTTTCTTAGTAAGGACAATCGCAACAAAATAAAGTTTCGAAGTCCTCACCCTCTTTCCACAAATTATACCCATAATCAAAGTGAGGAGATTTTCAGTTTTGAATTCTCAAATATGAACGTACGGTTATAGCAGTTTCGAAGATATAAAACACAGTACTTCGCTAGGATAAATGTGTCCAACAGCAGTAAACGTGAGTGAAACACCATAAGTGAATTTGAACACCATAGCGCACAAAGTTAAACATTAATTTACCCCATTGAACAGGTAACTAAATCAGGAGAAAATGCAGAAAAAAGCGCCTTTTGTGAGGCCTGTTATTACAAATAAGTATGGATTTTGGGGTGAGCTGAGAAAGACCTGCTCAGATTTCCAGTACTGACACAGCAAAGGGCACGTATGTTTACCTACTCTATAACTCAAAAAAGTTCTCTAAAATCAGCACATACATTGCTTGCACAGTATAGCATTATAGCGCCCTGAATCTGTCCCGAATTTACAAGCAGACATTACGTTAAAAAGAAGAGTTGAACAAATAATTAAAGCATGGCATGGCCCCCTTCTCTTTGAGCGTCGGCGGTCCTTTTGGTCAACCGCCCACAGGGAAGACGGTGCTGTAAGGAAAACATCGACAAGCTGACTGCACCAGTCTTCGAATTTGCTTGCAATTGAGATGTCTGACTGCAAAGTCACTGATTACTAAATCTGGGGTTTCTTCCTGTTCGGGAACTGCATTAAGGAAAGAGGGAATGAGCTGGCCATCACGTTTGTCCATCGCTAATCTTCAACACACTGGCCTTACTACTTTGTTCCCAATTTAGTGCTGTCTAGCCATATATCAATGAGGATTACACGCAGCTAGTAGAAAGGCACAGCGAACAGCTACCTAACAAAATTTTCTAGATGGTTGAAGGGGACGGCTTTAGGTGTTAATAGCTTTCCTGTAGACCACAAGACTGAGGCAGTTACCGAAGATAGACGTCATTTTCAGCCCTTCTGTTAGGGGCCGTGGCAGATTCTCCCATCCGCAGCACGTGTACTTCTTCCGCCCCACTATAGCCTAGCATTCAGTAATATAAATCAGGGCAGTTGTCCTTTATAATGGGTTTCACTTTCCGCCGCCACCGATAGAGCGCCCCGAGTCTTCCCTGAGGGCAAGAGAAGAGCTAATACTGGGGCGGAATATGTATTTTCGACCTGTGGAAGGGCTGGGGAGGTGCCACTAGCACGGTTCGGAGGAGCCTCAATTGTCCGCGAAACCAAAATGAAGTACTACAATAGTAGAGCGCTTCAGTTCTGCTAATGTCTTTAATTTCGAATGTCGAGTTCATTATTGTGAACGATTTTGGTAACATGGAAGGGTAAATATAATAAAAAAATGTACTCATTTGTATATTTTGATCCACAAGCACGCATGAAAGAGGCTGGAGAAGGTAAATATTGTGGCATTAATTCAAGTTTAGAAATATCACCTCTACTTGTGTTTACGCATATTGTTTCAACTCCTTTCGTGGATTTCAATCAGCAATTATAGGAATGGTAATATGCTATATCATAATTGCTAGTTTGCTGAAATCAAAGTGATCATATCTACCAGTTTCAACTCAAATTTAATCATTTAGAGCAAGTTCAATGAGATTGTTTAATGTGGTTGGGAAAGTAAAATCTAGACGATTTCCGAAATCATCATGCAGTAGGATAACACGTGCGTCGACTAAGATACTTCTTCCTCATTCAGCAGCCTCAAATTTCCCACCAGACAATAAACTTTTACCTTTAGAAACAAGAAATACGATGTTCGCAGATGCAAACGAAATCTCTCTGCAAATATATTCTTATAAATGACATGGAAAGAAAGCACTTGCTTGATTTTTTCATCACTTCATTTATCAGTAGGCTCTACCACCATTACCCAAAAAAACCCAGAGTTCGTGCAAACCAAACTTTGGGCTTTGCTTTTTTTGTACATTCACGATTCTAGCTAAGTTTATCTCAAGTCTATCATTTTATCCAGTCGTCCATATGCATCTATGCAACTCCTCATACCTCTAAGCAGCATGCATGCAGGCGTATTTTAAAGAAGGAACCCCTACAACTGAATGCAAGTGGTTACTCAGTTGACAGTTAGGCCAAATGCAACACTTAGGGAGGTTGACAGAGGGTAGTGCCGAGGACAACACTCGAAAGGAGAGAGGGGCTATGGTATAATTTGAATGTTTGTTTAACGCTTCGTTTTGGTTACGCGGACATCTAAGGCCATACCAGCCAAACCCCCTGCCCTTTTGTATGTCGCCAATATATTTTCTGGTTCTGAGAGAAAGACTCGGGCCTCTACAATACAGGTCTTAAGGATTAAGAAATCGGGACTGTTTGCAAAGAAATTGTAAAATGGCACTACTTTGATAACAAACCGTGTTTGAGTAGGCAATTATAAACTATAGAGCAGAAGTTAAAAGAACCCACATTCAATGAACCCAAAAACATTTTTTTTTATTTTGATAGGAAAGAATATTCCTTTCACCAAATCCGACCATATTACAATGCTCTTTAAAATCCTCCTCATGTAATCAATGTTGCCACCTTTAATGAGGTACTGGAACCGTTCTAAAGAGCGTCAACAAAAGAATGGGCATTTTTAGGTCTTCCAATAATAGTAACATGCATCAACACAAACGAATTTAGTGTGCGCTATTTGTGGACCTTAAAACCACGGCAATGCTTGATTTTTTTGGTAAAATTGTATCTTTTCTGAAAACAAACCTCACACTTTACACGGACTTTGGACCTTAAGCAGATCTACTGCATTATCTAAATGTGGAATCGAGTGAGCCTTTAATAGTATCAACTCGTAACTTATAGTGTCAACGGCGTAATATTATTAATACTGCATGGACCATTTGATCTACCGAACAGAGACTTGGGTAACGTAGGATTCAATTTCATAAATGGATTCTAAAACATCTCTATTGGTAGTTACTGAACCTGTTCAGCTGGCATTGTACATCCTCCAAGTAGTAGATATGAAAGATGTTGAGCTGTTACGTGTAAAACAAGTGGAATATTGACAGAGCAAATAAAAGCACACTTGAAACATCAAAATACGCGTGAAAGCAACATAGTTACAATGTTTTGTGCATTGCTTCATTAGTACAAAGGTTATGTCAATCACAAAAATCCTTGCAACGGCTTAAGTTATTTTAAGTACAAACCCATTTTGTTTAACCAAATTGAAACAAAAATGCATTACGATGTCCAATTTTCCCTTATTTTGCTTAACTTTCTCAGCAATAACATCGATGTACAATTTTCCTTGACTTTGCAAATCAGGAAGATTCCTGTTTGCACCTAAAATGGGGAAAAAGCAGTTTCGACTTGAAATATGCGAGTCACACGCCCAGGACAAAAATTAGTCGCAACTTGAAAAGCTGTTTAACCTGTGAACAAAGCCAACACACTTTCGATTACGTTCACCAACTAAACACCAAATTAAGTCCTTTGTTCTAGTTCAGATATCAACTGGAAAATTTTGCATAAATTTAAACAGTCTCCAACGTATCAACAGAGTTTTACGGTTATCATTGAAAACGAGAGGTACTTTCCATAGACGTTCTTAAAACTTATATTAGTGATCATCACTGTTTATGTGAGCATTCCACTATAATAGCTGTGCTTACTTTCATCCACCGATTTAACCATTAATCGCTTTTTTGCAAAATGAGACATAGGTCTGGGCTTTTGCCGTTATTTTAAAGGAAAGTCGAGATTTTACACATGCAGGAAGGTTTTTAGAACTCGAGACATGTTGTTACATAAACCACAGTAAAGTAGAAAGTAAAGATCACCTTTCAACATCAGGAAGATAACAGACAGGGCTCGAATGTAAGCTAGGATATCAAGCTCCGTACCAATGATTGCTGGGGTGGCAGATGCTATTGTTGTTGGCGGTGAGGTTGGGGCTGAGTCGAGTGTTTGATATAAAGAACCTTCCCTTAACAAAAATGGTTCATGAAGGAAGGTAAGGTTGGCGCTTCAAAGGTCAACACTGTCCACTCCTGATTCATAGAGCTTAAAGGCTACTGAGAAGAAAATGAACGGGAACTGACAGAGGAAGAATACAGCGATCAGGCAGGTTAGATTGATGATTATTGCCCTTTCCTCTCGTGATACATGCTGGCCCATCTCTCGCGCAAGTGGCCCATTCACTGTGAAGGGCACCGTTAGCCGTGTTGTCTCCGAGATGTTGGACTTGCAGTTGGAGGTGCAATCGTCACTGCTCGAAAAATCACGAGCTGCTGGAGCAAAAATTCTGTGCTTGAGAATAAAGGATGACCGTATTGCCTGAATTAGAAGCGCATTTACGCATATTAGAATTGTGCAGGGAAATACTAGTAGAACCAAAACTCGAGTGAACCAGAGGTTGAAATAGGATAATGCATTCATCAGGGAACCCAACGCAGACCAGTATTTGGCAAGTGAGGGGAGCTGGAGAATAAGTGCCGTTAAGATTATACACAAAACAATTCGCTTCTGCACATGGTGCGATAGACAGCGTACATACAGTGGATAGCATATGGCAAGGTATCTCTCCACAGCGACAGCTACCGTCAACCAGTTGGATACTAGCAGCAGAATGTCAATCAGTTCACCGAATAAGTCCTCAACTAAACTGTACGTAGATTGTGCATCGTCATTGGGCATAAGCTGCAGAAGAAAGTGATCTAATGAGAGGAGCATTAACAGGAATTCTGTGTTTAAATCCACAATCGCCAGTGTGACCAAGTAAGCAGCAATCGGACGACAAAGCCCACTTCTCCAAAGAATGTAAATTGACGGAATTACACAAAAGCAACTGGAAATACACAAAATTGCTAAGAGATAATGTTTGAAAGTAATATAAAGCAACATTTAGGGGTAGTGAGTAGGAAATCCAGGCAATAAATATATGTTAGTGCGGATGTATGATAGAGCCGCAGTTTTGAATGCATGGATTGGTCCTTTGCGATGGACCAATCGTCTTGAAGTACCATGACACGGTGATCCTGCTTTCCCCTGACGTGCCTCGGTGCTACATCACCTGCATTGCCATGCTCCTCATTCACTTATTTCCTATTCTATGTGAAAACAGTTGTTTGCGAAGTTGTTTTAAGCCTAAATTTTTAGGGTAGCCATACAAAACATGCAAGCTCAATCGTTTGCGTAAAAAGCTTTTTGGATGTACCATGTTTGCCTTCATTTCATTCACAACTTTACCGAGCATCGTCAACTTAAATATCAATTCTCTTGTAAATATAGGGACTGATTATTAGATTTAGAAAAGTCGTTAATTTTGAAAAGTGGATTGGAAATTTCTGAAGGAATCGTTATTGGAGCATTTGAATTCAAATAAACAAGGTGGCATTTTTTCTTGTCTTATTATAGGATTATTTCCATGACCACGAGCCTTTTGCCATAAATCATTCACATGGGTTGCTTTGAGCAAATCAAACATAACCTCAGCAAGTAGGTGTAATCTGTTGCAGCGCCCCAAGGCTTTCCTAAGGATGGAAGAAGGCATAATACTTGGGCTAACACAGTAGGGCTTGAGGCAACTGGCATGGCTCGGAGGCCAGCCCACCCAGCGAAGGTACTATGGCAGGAGCCAAAGTAGCCACTTGACTGTTACCACAACCGGGAGTTAGCCAAACAACCAACGTATCAAAATGCACACACAAATCCTCCTACCTATTTTTATGCGATTTCAGAATATTACTTTGTTATTTAAATTATGAACACCTGTGAAACCTTAGTAATAGTGCCCATTGCTAGACTGAGGCCTTGGAGTCAACTTGAGCCGAATTCGCGAAATCACTACTTGACACACGTCTGCGAGTCTTTGGTTGTGATCCTTCATCATTTAAAATTATCCATTAGAAATGGTTGCATTCTCGATCTGAATGACGATGCTTGTGAACAATGAGACATGTTGGAATAGTGGTTGCGTAGCCGCATTCACTCCTCAATGATGCGACCCCTCTAAATCATAAATCTGGTTTTCGGCTCTTTTGAACTACATTTTTGCTGAATGGAAGATAAGCCGCCATCCGGTATGCATCAGGGCGTTTAACTTCAAAAAGTAATTAAAGTTGCTGGCGTACATAGGTTTTAGCAGCGATCAAAAACTTGAAGTGAAATCTAAAGAAATGATCTTATGCGCATAAACCGAGCAGTCGTAATCATTATATCTTGGGCTCAGAAATGTGCAAAATACAAAGTAACGATTTGGAAATGTGAAATCAACTAATCATCCAAAAGGCAGGTTTCTGTGGTACTCCTGGCTTTTCTTTTATTTCACCAAACGCTTGATAGAACCTTGCTAATACACCACAGCAAGAATTGTTTGCTATGATTCAAAAGGCAAATTCTTTGCACGTAAAAGATTACTTAGAATTGCCATGTATTTGCATAGAGTCTCTACAAGTAAGTACCTGAAATAATTTCAGTTCAGATTCACAAGTTATGCAAACATCCGGGAAAACTCTAGTTATTTCCAGCCCTCCTGTAAAACGGTGAGATGTAAGCAATGCTGCAGCGCCCCAGAGACCTCCCTGAATACGAAATAAGGCATTGGCGGCATACAGAGGGGTTGGCCCTGCTGGCATGGCCCGCAGGCAAGTCCGCCTGGCAAGGGCACAGTGGCGAAGGGCTTAAGTAGCTTCTTACCACAACTGAGAGTCAAACAAACAATCAACGCATTACAAATACTATGGAATGAACCCAAGTTAATTCTTTTTAATCTTTCACGTGTTTGGCAAAACTCCGATAACTCCCTCAGTGATTTATAAATTAGTTGTAAAGTTTAATCAGAGGATTTTGTTTTGATTTGAATCCGGTGGACCACGTTGTATTTGGGAGTTAGTAATATTGTTACTATTAGGGCCAGCTAAGCTGGTATTCTCCAAATAACTGCTTTACTTGAAACGCCTTAATAAACAGCTTATAATAATAAAGGTGGTAATGAAAAGAGGTAAACATCAGTTTTTGGAGTGCAATTCTGAATTTACCTAGTCTTATTATGCATCCTGACCTTAACTTGGAGCCAAAACTAATTAATTTCTGAAAAATTGAAGCATTTTCCTCAAACTTTTACCGTGTTGTTTACTTGGTATTTCATCGATATTGAAAATCGCAACTCGAGGTTCCTCTATTCGTTTTTTTCCACCTTTTTCCACTTAAACTGCACTCAATTTGCTGGGAAGGCGCACCGGAGAGGAGTGGGGACTACGCCTACTGTGCATCCCCAAATACTCATCTTCAAACTTGAATATAAAAAACAGAGAGTTTGAACCTGCAATGTAATCTCCAAATCCATGGAAATGGACTATATGGCTGCAAAAGTATTAAAGCACCAACTAGAACTATTTTTTGGGACAGCTCATTGCGATTTGCTTTATTAAAGTGCTTGTACTTACAAAATGGCTATCTGTTAAAACCAATGAAATAAACCACCTTCCGAAAACGGTGCTGGAACCAAGTATTAATTAGCATAACCGTGATGTCTTATTAAAATACAAGTTCAAAAACGACGAATAATTGACACTTAAACAGCGGCGGAGTCGAGTGCCATCAATTATTCAATTATGTTGTGAATTACCTTTACTTACCTACCATAGATTAGTGGCAAAAGCTGAAGCACAAATCCTTATTGAGTCCAATCGACTGAAATAAAATTATTCAAAAACCAACATTTCAAAATGCTTTGAACAGGTGAGCAGTTTATAAAAACTAGGATCTATGTTTGCAGATTAAAGAGATGATACACATTCTGCACTGATTAACACTGCATTTTTAGTCATCTCTGGAGTCAAACAGTGAACGACAATAAGGAGGAAGGGTTAATTATTGAAACACAAGACTGGGAGACCATAGCCATGACCAGAAAGTCCTATTGCCAAAGCGGAGGTAAAGCCAAGAAGACTCTTGGTTCCACACAGTTTAATGTACAGACAAGAAACTGGCAATTCACATTGAAACTTCCTTCTTTGAAAATTCCTTGTGATCTGAAAATGGTGGTCATCAAACTGTCATTATGAAGGTATTAGTATTGACGTACGGAAGAGCTGAGAGGCTGTGGGTATGGCTGAAGAACCATGGCAACAAACAGTGAAGACTGAAGTGGCGGCGCGGTTACTTGTTAGTCAAGCCTGGTACTGTCCTTTTAAAACTCTTTTGTCTTTAGGGAAGTATTGGGGCGCAACACTTAAACAAGATGTAGTTGATCCAAAACCACCACTACCAATGCTACTATTATGTTATACATAAACGCACTAAAGTGATCTAGCTAGATGACTTTTTCTGTACCTAATGTATAAATGTTAGAGACTTTCCTGCAACCCTTTGAATGATTCCTATAAAATTAGTCCGAATTATGAACGTCCAGCATAAGGAAAAGTAGAGTATAAGGAATAATTTGTGCACTCGTTGACAGCTCTCAGATGTCCCTTAATCAGGGTTACTTACTTAGCGAATTGTTAGCTGTTGCGCAAACAGTGTAAACATCGAGCTTTTGATTTGGCTTGTTTGTATTTGTTCGCGAAATTCGCATTTTAAAACTTGTGTGCAATGGTCGTTCCCAAGGTTATAGAAGATGATTTGTATGATTTGTCTCGAAAAGCGGGTGTTCTCATAGACAGAAGAATATTTACGTGAGTAGTTCTTGTCGCCTTTCATATAGCTGGCTCGACAGATGGTGGTAAAAAGGGAACCTTGGTAACATTTTCGATTTGTAATACCCTACTTAGCCTGCTTCTGTGCTTTGCTTCAAATCCAATGATTGTTTTTGTTATCATTGACACTTAAATGCTGCAGAACCATACTTTTTGGTAGAGTGAATTGCTAGAGCATTGGGAATTATTGGTTGCAAGTAATTGTAACCAGATGAATGCCTACTTTTGTGACAAAATTCATCTATTTAAACTAGTCGGTAGTATTAATTCTTTACGACCAGAGTTTTGGGCAATCCAATGTTCTGCTACCTGTACGTTTGCTACTTCCAAATTTGTTTTCCTGTTTGATAGCATTCTTCTCAATTTGATTAATATGAATTGTCATCCATCAGTCATATACTACATGGTGAAACAGCCACTGGATCAGTTCACATCTAGTGCACCTCACTCTAGTGGAACCGAAGGCAGTCTTCCGAAGCTCACTGACAGAATGCAGTCTCGTGCCTCCAAACGAAATCCGGAACTGTAAACAGGCTGTTTGTTGCCTCATTTCTAATCATCTTCTTGTGTACATATTCTTGCGATCTGGATTGTTTCTTAATTACTTGCTTATTTTGCGTCCTAATAAAGAATACGAATTTTGTAAGCTTATCCCGTTGGAGACGCGTCAAACCGAACCGTTTGTGTCTATTGTGAACTTCTTGACGGGCCCTCATTTACAATGCAACATCTCTGTTTATACGTAGGTTAGGTAAGAATTTATTGACTTGTAGCAGGGACTTAAGTTCAAACCTGACGATTTACCATCGTTTGGCATCCTGTCCGATCCCAAACGTAACTCATATCCGCAGACGCATTGATCACGCTGCGCATAGAACGATTGATCAAGGGTTAAGCTTGGTGGACCATGAATAAGTAAACAATTAGTGTCCACCCCATTGTTTCGCAGTTTGGTGATATGCTAGTTATAGGAAACGCCGAACCCCACTACGTTTGTGCATGATATTCTATCTGAATGTTACCCTTGTCGAATAACTCTAATTTGTTGTCTTTGAGACTTTACAAGACCCGTGAATATGCTAAGAGCTAAGCGTTTCGAATGTGCATTAAAATTTGCCCCGATTTATATTAAACAAAATACCTGCTCATTCTTATGGAGCAGTTGAACTTCAGGTTTAGTGAAAACATCGGGGCCTGGTATGTGGTAGTGTAGCATCTCAAGTCTTCCCTGAAAGCGTTATAAGCCAGGGCAACACAGGACATATATTAGCCGCGTACAGAAGGGCGGCGGATCGCTGGCATACCTGGAAGAACGTCACAGAGGTGAAGCGCAACGCTTAAGAGCTAAACTACTCATATTTTACTGTTCTGGGAGCCTTTTGAAAGTGCCGTGATAAGCTAATAACAACTGAAGGGTTATGATTTTACTTGTTAAGTCTCGACCAAGGTAGTAAGCATTGAATGCTCAAGAATAACAACAACAGGAAGAGCAGCAAAGTCCGCTGTTCTGGAGCAATAATGTCTAACAGGAAAGTCTTCAGGGGATTAGGAGGCGTCCATTTATATGAAAAAGTAATTTTCCCATCTATGACTACTAGGTTCAATAACAATAAATGCACACTAGGTTAGCAGCCTGTAAACCACAATATTTACCACCCCTCGGGTAGAGCTTGTTCCCTTATCTTTGGGCAGTACTGCATGGCACTACATTCTTCGGGGTTGACTGACCTCTTAAAAGTTGAAAAATAAGCATGAAAATGCCCAGTGTTTCAAATCGTTCATGTAATCAACTTATTTTAAGCAACACTGCACTTTGCATGCAAAGCAGTAGTTCCTCCTAATCATCTCAGAACGAAATGTTGGCTGATCCTGAAACCTTCACCTTTTGATCATCGCCGCATTGCATTCGTAAATCTGACATTCAAAAAGTAGTCAAGTTCTGTACCTTAACATGGAACTAATGGAGAGCCCTGATATATTTCGACAAATGTTTCGAAAATAAAAACGGGTTTCTATACAGCTAGACAGGAATACTGCGGTAAAATTTCACCAAGTGAAACCCCTAATGCGCCATCAGGAAAAAGAAGATAGGCTATGAGCCGAAACACAAAAAAGCAAGTTTTGGAAGAGAACTGCTTAGAGAGGAAATCTGATCAAACTCTTGAGCATCATTGCAATATTTATGAAGAAACCCGAAGAACGTCGAACACGATGGAACAAGTGGTCTCCCGGAACTATCAGTGCCCCAACACAAATTGGAACCCCTCAATATTTCCTAATCTTGCGTACGAAGCGCACGACGCCTCGCGCCCACTTCATATTGCAAATGGGTATTACCTCTTGCTACGCTTAGCTCATTCACATACACCCTTCGCCATTTTGGTTGTTTTAGAGCCTAACAAGTAGTAGCTATATTTTCAATCGGACTGCACACCACCAGCCATTATGGGCTCAACAGATGAGGCTTTGAGCGCCAAAGTGATCTAACTGTCTAGATGATATGCACGCGGGCTATCCTTAGACGCGCTGCAAGTTTGCAGACCAAGTGAACTATTCCCTCTCAAATGCACGCTAATTAATTACTCTGGGGGAGGGTCGTGGATCGTTAAAGCAGCTGTCGTCGAAGCCTTGACGCATACGCACACGCATGCATCCACCTTGGCAGATTGACACAGCCTGCACAGAAAATAAAGCGCAACTACGCCCACGCTGAGTGCGGTTGGTGCTCGAAGCCGCACCGAGAATGACAATCGTTAGCTCCAAATTATCCTGCTCCATCATGTGTATGCGTGTCGTAGAATATCAGACAGTGCATTTTTGCAGGTCATTGATGCAAAGTGCTGAATCGATGCTTCCATATCTGGAAAAAGGGCCGCTGACACCTTCATCGACCACAGCATACCTGCATTGGTCATTCCACTGCTATCCAACATCGGCAACTGATTGCGTAGGCATAAGAATTATCTACCCATCGAGCTGCATTAGACTACATCAGGGTGCTACAATTCGAGCAGCCTACTGCAATGATACTAGTGTTCACTTACAAAAGCACATTCTAGTTCTTACAATTAGTCATGTTTCTTAATAGCATACCAAAGCACAAAACCGATGAAATAGAAAAGCCAGCGCTGAGGCATCATACGCATAAATATTGAGAATCAACGGCAACCGATCTCCTCTCGAAAATAGTAACAGAGCAAAAGGAAGAGATACGAAGGTTCTTGAAGCAACGACTACCTATGGATGATGAGGAACTCCACGGGGGTTTTCCAGCTTTGCTAAATTAGCCTTGTGCTTTTTCCCCTCCACATGAATTTTCATGTTAGCTGCAGATGTTATTGGACAATCACAAAGTGAGCACTTGGTGGAGATCCCCTGCGTCAAAATATATTGAGCATCCGCATCCACTTCGGGTAGGCTGTTCGACGAGGCACTTCTGCTTGGCACAATTTCCTTCGAAGGTTCCATAAAGGCTGCGTTAAAGATTCTTCTAAGTTCACTGCGTAAAAGGGCAGGCAGTTCTTCCAAAACTACTTGGCGTATAGTTTCGACCAACTCGCTTTTTGGCAAAGAACCAGGGGAAGTACTCTGACGGCGAGGTAATGCTGACAATGGTGCATCTCCAGCAGCTCCCTTTACGACTTGTATCTTCGCTTCATGCTCTTGACTTTTCACATGATTAAACATTGCTGCCTTATCAATAAATTCAATGTTACACAGGGTACATTTCCACTTCGAATGCTGGCTGTCGGTAGCAGACGCCTCAGCCCCCAGTTGTGACGAAGCCGGTTCACATAGAAAATCCTTCTTCGCCGTTGTGGAGGTCTCATACTTAGAGGCGACAAAACTACCATTGAGACTATCTTTAGAATCATTCTTCACCAATAAGCTTTTGGAGGCGAGGTTGAAATCTGTTGGAACTGATGATTTCTGTAATATAGAGCCAGGGAGAGCATTCAGTGGCGCGTCTCTAGCAGCTCCCTTTACGACTTGTATATTCGCCTCATGCTCTTGACTTTTCACATGATTAAACATTGCTGCCTTATCAATGAATTCAATGTTACACAGGGTACATTTCCACTTCGAATGCTGGCTGTCGGTAGCAGACGCCTCAGAGCCCAGTTGTGAAGAAGCCAGTTCACATGGAAAATCCTTCTTGGCCGATGAATTTAAAGAACGTGCATAATCCGCCGGAGCCGAAACCCTTGGTCCAGGGAAGGGTGGAGTAGCTGGTGGTAAAGAAGGCCCAGCAACTACTTTGTTTTCGTTTGTCCGAGGCGTCACATGTGCCGAAGTTGCGGAATTGCCATTCATACCAAGTAAAGAGCTGTTCCCCATTAACGGATCTCTGAAAACATGATCAAATTCTTTTGAAGTAGATTTTAATAGGACAGAGTTAGGTGGGGCATCTGGTGGCGAAGGTGGTTGAGTGAACTGCTTACAAGCGTTGGAACTACCATCGGGACTATCTTTAGAATCATTCTTCACCAATAAACTTTCGGCGGCGAGGTCAGAATATGTTGGAACTGTCCCTGTATTACCGAAATCGTCAAAGGGAGCATCCAGTGCCGTAGACGACTGAACCGATCCAGCTGTCTGGGCTCCACTGCATGTTCCTGAAGTTAGGTGATTCCAAAGCTCCCCATTTTCACTGAAAGGCTTCTTACAAAACAAGCAGGATTCCATGTTACTTGGCGATGAATTTTTAGCCAATGCACTAGGGAACCCAAAAAAGTCCCTTTGTAATTTGTCAATACACAAAAGTCTGCGTTAAAATGAGTTTACAATAAGGAGGGCAAATTATTTCGAGTTAAGGGGATTCTCTACTTTCCTTCAAATTAGTGCCTTCGACAACGTAATGAAGCCTCACTACGACAAAGCTGGAATGGTCCGATAGCGAAGATGCCAATGATTATTACAGTTTCTATGACAATTAAACCACTAAGATAAACCTACGACTAACCTCACCAAAAACTCCTTCCATAAGATACAATATGAGACCTGAAGTAATCACTGCACTCATGATGACATGACGAATTTCAAATACAGGTAGTAATGGCGGTAGTTATACAACTCGTGGAAGGTGCAACGTCAATCCAACGATCCTTATGACCAGAAGAATAAGCATATAAGGGCTGATGGACCACAGCATAATCGTGCTAATTGATAGCTACCGTCTTAAATGTAACCGTTGAATGTCAAGATTAAGCGCCTTATAAAAGAATTTACACGTCCATCCAACTAATTACTTCTGGTAATCTCAAAAGACGAATGGACGTGAAAGTGGAAAGCACTGAAGCCGCAGTACACACTTGACCAAGATAAAACCACTAACACAAGCACAGACCACATACCTGCGCCCTAAACTGCAGGTGCCGATGGGATTGGTTAAAAATCATTTATTAAAAGAAATAAGAAGTGTAATTTCAGAATGCGATGCTTAAACAGTTTGTAGTTTAAATTTTGAGTTTCGCGGCATATGTTACTGAACGACACGATTATCTAGGGCGAAATTGAGAAATTTTAGAAATAATTGGACCAAGTGCCAAAATGGCAGAATGGCTTAACCTTCCCCTTTCTGTTCCAATTCCCACACTATTCAACAATACTTAGGCCGCGTCCTACCTTATTTCTTAACTGCGAGTATAAACTACGTAAGATGGGAATGTTGTTCAAGCACTGGTAATTACCCATACTTTCATTCTTAAAGCAGTAGGCGTACGCATGTTCATGCATCGAAGGCCGGTCACCAAATCATGGCCATCTTTTAATCCTGTTTTCAGTCCCTTTTTTGGTAAATTACTAATGATTTCATCTTCCCATCTTACTTTGCGATATTCGAATGAGGCGATAGTAATCCCGCAGTTGTGCAATTACTTGTTGAAATCGTGATTAAACTTACCAAAACTATTAGCTGGAGCAGAGGTCTAGTTGGTACCTTTTAATCCTAAAAGATTATCAATTAGTAACAAGAAGCTAATGCTACCTGGCTTTTAAATTGGTTTGATGACGTTGCACGTATTATTCATTTTGACGGTGATTACTTTTTAGTGCTTTGAGCACTCTACTGTAGTGTAGGACGAGGCTCGTAGATCTCATCCCCCCTGACCCTCATACTCGTAGAGCACCCAGGTTGATTCGTTTTCGTCGTGTTGATTATGATAAGTAAATGGGGAGGACAAGTACAAGTTCAGGTAGATGTGGACATGGAACCTTTCTCCGGCTTGCAGGACGTTGACCCATCAGTCATGGGGCTCGATTCGTACGCCCGCCTCCTTTCTGAGTGGAGCATCAAAACATCATGAGTACTACAGTAGTGCTCTGGGGCTTCCCTGAAGACGAATCAAGACAATTCTCGGGCTGAATATGTACACATACATTCGATATACTTTAAGGCTTGGTGCTATCGGCACGGCCCTAAGGCCAACACACTTGGCGAGGGTACATTGGTTGAGCACATAAATGACTCCCTTACCAAGACCGAGAGCTAAATAAACAAAGCACTACACTACATCCATATAAGCATCATTGATTTCGGAAATCGGGGTCCTCAGTATATTCACTGTCTTCATGAAACCTAAGCATTCTTTTCCGCCTCCACACGTTCCATCTGCATAGAAATGAATACATTTAAGGCCTACAAATGTTTAATGACAAAATGTCACATCCACCACTCTTATTAGGGATATGAAGATACTTGAGCAGAACATCCGTTTCCCTTATCATTTTTTTTCGGATTGGCACTGGTTCCCCTCCTGAAGATAGTAAATTGCTTCAGTAATAAGGATATTCATCTTTCCAACGCCTCAAAGAAACCCACACTTATTTTACCCACGTCTAGTTTAAAATTCCGACATCTCTCCCTCAAATGAATAGTGTTAGGCCTCTCTTAAAGCGGACCTTGCCTCTTGAAATCACACGTATGGCAGTTTTGGTGGCAATCTAGTGAGCTATACGCAACTTAGGCCTCATTTTGAAGCTCGGTTGGTCTAGGGTTAGGATTGGGAATGCTTTTCGAGGATTGACTTTGGACATTGTGATGGGAATGGCGTTAAATATTTGACACCGCAGTCTATACAGACAGCAAAGCATATCAGAATTTTCTTTCCTGTTGGTAATCTGCATTCGAAGTTCCTACAAAGTGCCTCGTATGCCCGATATCATTTACACACATTTGATGGTCGAAGACGCAGTCGAAGTGACTTGTCGAAGACCTAAACACCTATTTTAGCATTTTCGATGGTGCACTTACTCATCTACCTGTGTTTTTAAGATTTTTGCTTTCAATTTTAGCAAAAGCGCCCCATGAGAATTTAAAAACAACAGGTTATCACCGCCATTACCACCACATCGGTGTGAATTGGAATGCTATGCAAAATACAGTCGCTACATTAGGATTAAATTTGTTACTGTTTTAGAAACCACATAATGTTTTTCATTTTTTAAATACTTAAGCAAACGGAAGCAATCGAAAAGTACTAGATGCAGGTGCTCCAACCCGGGGTTGTGGAATGTTGTAGATCGGAGGCGGCCTTCAAGATGCATTCAATAGTGCGAGCAGTAGTTGTTCATAGTAGCCCGAGGTTTCACCCTTGATCCATTCAACCAGGCTCTTGTGATCCTTATCGAACGTCTCCTTGATGTTCAGCAAGTCAATCTACAAAGGGCCGCAATTAAGAACTCTCTAGCTCTACGCCAAGAGGTTAATCGGCAAATCTCACACTTTTAGCAGGACTTCCTCCTGACTATTTGTGAATGCTTAAAACTGGAATGTCACTATTAAAGTCATTTCAAGGAGTATTCCCTCACGCCAGCCACCTACCTTTTGACTTGACGGCACACTACTGTAGAGTGCAGTATGACTGTTTTTAGTTGCTACTTAATCACACAATTGTAGTACTTTTTACTAATTAATTCAATTTTGCTTGTTTCATAACTACGGAAAGATTAAAGTAGCTCCAGTCCTGAGGGGAACATGGAACTGTTCCTACTACTACTACGACTACTGCTACTACTACTACTGGAAGTTGTGCATCGTAAAAAATAAGCTAGATGTAGTTGCATATTAAAACTCGCCTCAGAGCGCAGAATGATGACTCTCATGAGGAGAAAGTCGTGTGTTCCTTGACCCACCATGGCATGGTAGAGAGCCTCGGAGTAGAACTTTGGTCTGTCTATAGCGTGCTCAACTTGAAACAGAAAGAAGATGTGCGGTGAGTAACTCAAGTGAATGGCTTAAAAGTCACCGGCCGATTAGCATGGAGTGATTAGCTTGAATTGGTGGTCAGAAATAGGTGTCTCGTAAAAGAGAGCTTACCCATGGCCATAAGCAACGCGCCAAATTCTCCCGACACAGCCTCTGATATGGCTGGAATAAGGCTCTTCCCACTTGTCTGCAAATTGTTAAAAACGTTTCACTTGGGAGTCCTCACACTTGACTTGTCCCGTTGTGTAAGCAAAAAAACAACACTAATTGATACTAACACAAATAGGTTGCCTTAAGGTATTCTGTTGCCCTGGCAACCGATAATAGATTTTTACATTTTAATCTATATTTCTGTGCTTCTAAAGGTGTTAACTAAAATTCACAGATTAGATTAGCTGCGATGTCATAGTGAGGAGGTTACTTGATAAGGACCAGTACCACATTCAATGTCAAAGAGGAAATAGTAAAAGCACAATTCCTTGCAAAGACCCTTTGAACGTCCACTTCCAAAACATGAAGGCAACGAACGAACCTTTTTGTACTCTTTTTCCATTGCTGCTATTTCCCAGACATTTTTGTGCTGGAATGCGCTCAAAAGGAGAGCACTCGTTGAATTCTTTGGTCTTAAATAGTAAGAAAATATACTAGTCTGTGTAATAAATCTTTGACAACTCGTAAAAAGTGACTCAAGAGAGGTGAGAGCATGTACTTTTCCAGCGCCTCTACAAGTTGTTTGACGGCCCTTGTAACCTCATTCTGGTTGACCATTATGTCGCCACCTCTTTGCTTAATGGTTTGGAGTTGCTCTGGCGTTGGGTCTGGATTATCACCCTTCAGAATCTGCAGCAACATTTTGCAGAAGTAGCCCGTTGTCTCGGAGCGAATGTCAGTCTCCAGGGTGCGTTTTGGATCTGGGAATCAAGGAGCATTTCCACAAGACTAGAGTCAGTAGCACGAGCATTTCATTGCATAAAATTGCTAGCATTTCTACCGAGCTATGTGAAAGGAGAGAGCTGAGATTCATCCGACACTAAAGCAGAAGCGTCTATGAGCAAACAGTGATTGAACAATGTTAAACATGCTGGTTAATTGGTTGGCTGCCCTGTTTTAATACACGCCATTCAGCCAATTAGCAATTATAAAAAATAGGTTTTAAGGGGACTTTTGGAGCGACATTTCGTTAGCAAAAAAAGAAGCTCAAGTACTTCATTTCACAATCGACTGATTTTTTGCATTTGTCACAGTGTTTTCATGTAAAAAAAGTAACAATTTGATTTGCCGAGATACAGTGAGATGCTGACAATGCTTGAACGCGCCAGCTTTTGGCACTAGTGCCCAGGTTACTGAAAGGCTTCAAGGGAGGGAGCGCAACTAACCTAATTATGCAGTTTGTGTGTGCTCACCACGCCACAAACAGGGTGTTTACTCGCCTCCATGAATCAAGCTGCTTCCACACACTCATGCCACTCCTTGCGAGGGCAGCATAAGCAGAGCCAATAGAGACGCTATCATCCCAAAAGCGGGGTTTTATAATGTTGAGCCAGTAAGACACTGCCAGTCAATCATTAGCGCAACTCACCCTTAATTCCTTTGTCACGCAGAACTACAAGAGAGAAAAGAATGAAAATCAAAGGACGAAGTTAAACAAAACAGAACCGCAAGATTTATTAAACGTCGTAGATGAAGTGACTGGAGTTTCAGATTTTACACCTATGGCGACTACTTTTCATGCCTTGTGAAATGCTGAACTAATGAGGAGTTTTCGGTAGGCCATCTTGGTCATATTTACGCATTCATCCTCCTACATCTAAGGAAAATGTTTTCGAACAGGACTTCTAAATATTTAAATTGGATTGAGCCTAAGGATTACAGTAAATAAGGCGAAAACAAAGCACGCCTATAACACTTACCGCTTATGTAGGACTGTTTGAGCTTGTTTATTTCTTCATTTGTGCAGCCCACAATGATCTCAATGATGGTATTCTCGTTCGTACCAACACCCTTCATTGCGTAGTAAAGCGACTTCGCCATCAGATAAATGGGGTCCTCGGTCAGAAGGATTGCACAATCTCTGAAGTGGCCGCTCAGATCACCGTCCAGATCATGTGCAAGCTCCTAGATACATAGTTTGGTATTTTCATCAAAAGGGAAAAGTCCATAATGTGCTTAAATTGTTAGTCGAGGGGATACTTAAATACTATTTGAGGAAATTCAGCAAGACACTTCACAAGTGTTTTGACGGGCTGGAGGCAGACTTACACGACCGTACTTTCGCTTGTATAGGTCTACAATCTGGAGGCGCTCTTCGCTTGTCCTTCCCCCCAAAATTTTGATGATTGTTTCCTCATCGGTGCCTAGATGAGAAGAAAACTACTTGAGTTAACAGCTAAAGTGATCTGCAAGGTAGAATGCACTAAAGTCGATTGAAAACGCACCCCAACAGCGCATGGATTTGCAGAGCGCCTCGACGTCAGCGTTCACATCAAAGTTGGGAGTAGGCTTCAGCGTGGGTTTGAAAGGTTTCCCATTGCAGTCGAAATATTGGGAGGACGAACGAGCGTTTTTGGCTACAAAAAAAGATGGAGTCACCACATTAATATGAATGTCATAGCTTTAATTTGCCAGGGCTAATCACTATGCCACTTTACACATTTACATAAAAAATTTGCAGTAATTTGATCTTAAAAACTGCGCCCTTCTTAACACAGCAAATCTAGAAAGTCAAATCGTCACTTTCCCAAGTTAGCTTAAATTAGTTATTTGATTTCTATTAAAAGAGGAGATGGATTGCTCAAGACCTTAAAGAAATAAACGGATGTTCTTATTTTTGAATTACATCAACAAAAATTTCTGGTTTAGAGTCCACAAAGAAGTATGCGTGGGTGCAAGCATAAAAGAACAATAAAACTTATTAAGTAAGATAATTAAACATTTAACTAGACTCTAAAATGCGATTAGAATTTATAATTAGCAACCATCAGAGTATAGCTGTGCGCCAACTGGAGTCATGGCTGTTGCAACTAGTAAATGAGGAGGAGTGAATGATTTCCAAACTTACCCATTATGGAAGACTCTGCCTTTGTGCGGATGAGAAGAGGCTTTGTGCCACACTGCTCTCATTGTCGATGCATCGCTGACCTTACATGAGCCCACACTTTTGGACCAACCAATCAAGTCGACGCCTCCACACTCGATTGATGTGTTTGTGTGAGCGAAAGAAGCAGCACGTCTCTCCGCAAAAATCTGTGAAATGCGATCCCTCCCTCGTGCTTTCTCACTCTTTCGCTGTACGTGCGCACAAACCGCTTCTACACTTCTGGCAGTCGTATCTCGGACCTCCCAAATAAGACCACAGCAGCTACATTGCCTCCCTTTTTTCGAAAGAAGAATTGACGTGACCCGGGCTGGTGACCGAAGAGATGCATAAGTGTAAAGCAGGAAAGCGGGATGACACCGTGAACTAATTTATTCACCCAACTAATAACTCTTTTTGACGGTATTAAGAACTTGGAAATGTTTTATCCGGAAAGCATTATAGTGATATCCCGGAGAATAGCTTTCAACGTCAATGTTTTAATGACGAAAGGCTCTTTTTCTAATCAAATTCATCAGTCATTTCCACAAAACGCATTTTATACGGAAGATCACCCATTCTAACATTTCGCCCTAAAAGCTCTACCTAGTAAAATAAGGGCACAGTCAAACCCCCAACAATAGTGATCGGGTAATAGGCAAGCAGATATAACGGGAAAAGACGTTTATTAATGAGAAATAAAGAGAAAATTCAGAAGTAAATCTTATTACTTTAAGGCCATTTGGTTGAAAATGAATGGAAACTTTCGGTATCTTACTCCAAATCATCGATCTAAAATTAAAGAAAACCTGGTTGAATTCTCTCCCCGCCGATACAGGTAAATCCCAGTAGAAGCAAATGCACTTGACCTGACACAATTAAATGACTGCCCTCGTAATTTTTATCAGCACGGTGATATTTCTTTGAGGTCCTTTTTTTAAGAAAACGCAATGAAATAAAGAGAGACGCCAGCCTGCATCTAGTATACCTTTGTTGCAAGCCAGTGGCGGAGGAATTCACTCGCGCTCAAATCATTAGGCAAACACACCCAGTAAAGACGAATAACGAAGTGGATAAACATTTGCATTAGAGAGTAGAAGAATATAACACATCCGGTGGATACATTCAACCAAACATTAGGGAGGTAGATCAAGTACGTTAGCATATTTCGAAGCTACGTACAGTAAATGGAATACGGAAGTACTCTAATTCAAGGCTTCAATGCTCAGGTCAACGACCTTAGTAAGAAGCCTGCGGGCCACGGGATTACATTATACGGGCACGAGCATGTGCATTGGAGTGGAAATTTCTACGAGGAAGTATGAACAAACAAACTACGAGAGTAAGCTTTCACACAAACACTTGCAAGTGATGATTTGAGATTTGAATTAAATCAGAAAATAAGCATCCATCTTGCCGGTGGAGACGTAAAGAGGACCAACGAAGAGGATTTCAGTGATAGAAGAAAAGGCTCGGTCGAAACTGTAGCAATCTAATGTGAAAGAACCTGTTCAAATTTTTTTTGAGAAATATATGCATTTGTCAGATAATTTACCAAAAATTACACAACGGTATATCTCCTGACTAAAAATTTCAAATGAATAAAGTAAAACATCCAACAGTCGAAAATGATGGTGTGACTTCATTAAATCTACACCGAGGATTTGAGGTCAACAAAGATGAAAAATTCACATTCCTCTAAGAAAATCATGTTAAAAGGTTTGCAAACACAATCACGAGACTGATTTTGGGTCAAGGCTTGTTAGGTGTTGGAAAAGTAGGAAGACCAGCGCACTCACTAGCGTAGCACTATAACTTAACAAAAAAACAACAGACAGTGAAATGAAATGAACAAGAAAGGAAGGTGATTTACACATTATGAGCCACTCCAACCGCCAACATAACACTACTGTGCAGTTTTTCTAAAATCACAAATTTAACAAAGGACTGAGGCATCTGGCCACACGCCTGAAGGCCTCACCAGGATTGTGTTAGCTGGGATGCATTCGCAGTCAGAAAATTTATTTCGGCACTGATTTAACGACGGAAAAACGCACATTTATGTGAATAAAAAAGCAATCAGTCGCTCGTAATACTGTGCAGCAGGGAGAAGCTAGGAGTGGTGCGTCGAAGTAGATATTGCATAGGGATAAGGAGGCGTGTGTAGAGATGCTGCAGAAGCAATCTCCCTCACTTTATAGAAAACGAGACAAACGTTCACCAGAACAGTTAATCATCCAACGAGGGTAAAAACCACACTGAATGTAGTTTTTTGTGTGAAGAAACCCTTTTTACTACATTGCGAGGTTACAGACTAGGCGGCCTCGATGTAATAGTCAATATTTGCTAGCAAAACTTCATTAATTTCATTTTATTGTTAAAAATTAGAAGAAAACATCTAAGCTATTTGTTGCATCCATCATTTGGAGAAAGATGATACTATGAGGGTGGGTGAAGAACAGCTAAACATATTTTACCTCCGAGGATTAACTATTGAGAGCTCATTGAATTACACATTTGCATGAGACGCAAATGTTTTAGCAAGTAGATGGCGCAAAATCGCAAACACTGAAAGATTCACCACAGATCAGAATAAAATGCACATTTTTGTAAATCTAATATCTAGTTGTGAAAACAGCTTTAGTGAAACGGAGCTTCGTAGGAAATATGAAGTTAGAATGCAACAAAAGAACGCGCCAAGTAGTAAACTCCTGAAAGAAATCTGAATCAAAAAAAAACTTTTCGGTTGCACATCCTCGTGTTAGGAGAGTTTGCAAAGCCGCAACAATTAAGCACCTTCGTCAGCTTTCCATTTACTTTAAGAGATCAAAGGCGGTGAGTAGCAGCCTTGATCAGAAGTTCCTACACAAAAAAGTGGGTCTGTTTACAGTCGCTAGTTTTCCAGACCAAAAGATGCGCTGTCCAGACGAATTAATGAGTTAAATCCGACTAAGTGATTAGTTTTGGCACATAAACTAGAATATGTGAGAAAGATAGATGTGGATGTGTAAGCGGCGGCACCTGTACGCAAATACGAAGCAAAAAGACGAGAGAGAGAGAGAGAGAAAGAATTTGGCACGATGGGACCAGCACAAACACGGTGCTTATCCAGACACCCCACTTGAAAACCACTTGAGTAAGAAATGCTTGACTGACAAAGCGCTTTCACATACAACTTTTTGAGAAATTGGAGCACACAAGGAGTTTTAAATGGCTGATTCTCTCAAATGGGAACTATCCAGTCTTACCAAGTTATCAATAGGCGGCTCGAGTCGACCGGAATTCGAGTCCTCTACCACCGCCTCAAGTTTTATTTGCCTGATTGGATCACTGATGAGAGAGGCAGCTTCTTCTGGTGTCATTTTTACGCCATGCACATCTAGACTGCTGATTGGTCGAAGTAATGCATCTTGAAAACAAATCAAAGATAAGCAAATCTGTAAGCAAAAGCCACGCTACTGTAGTCCTGTTAAGTAGTAGTCATACCAGTAGCAATGACTTCACACCAAAAGGCAAGCCTGTTGGTCACAGCCTGAGTCGCCTCGAGATCGCTTCGCCAGTGAAGTAAGAAGGCGTTATAGGCATTGGCCACATCGGCAGACGCACCTGGTGCCAGAGCCGCCTCGTGGTATCCGCGCAGGCAGTGGATTGCTTTGGGTCGCAGGAGTTCTGGTGTCAGTGGGTCATCCACGAGGCGGCAGACATGCGCTTCCATTTCACGACACGCTTTAGACAAACAGCCCTATTAGGCCCATGTAATAGCACTTTTTGATAAAAAAACTAAAAGTAGTAGAAAGGCACGTTGACTACATGGCAATTTGAACAGCTATACAAACCATTCCCCAAATACACAGCAACACCTACCCTTAGCCGTAAAATCGGACTTGTGGCCACAATTTCAAACTTGGAGCAAGCTATCGTTTTACGTGATTTACTTGACAATTCTATGCAGCACCTTTTATCATTAATCTGAGAGATTTTTGGAATAGTCCGTGCTACAAGAAATCATATTCGCTCAGTGTTAGGCCGATTGAATCTAAATTAAAAGGCAAAAGGACAATAACTTCTTAAAGCCTGTATCCAATAGCGAATGGCATTGACTCCATAGCTGATTTAAAAAAGGCTTGTAAGAGGATTATAGCAGGCCTTCATAGCTAAAGTTCAATGGGCAACAGTTGACATTACGCGTGTAGGATGAGAACTCTGTAGTAATTACAATGTATCTTCCCCGATAAAAAGACCTTTTGATATATTTTAATTATAAAAAGGAGATTCTAAGAATCCGTTCATTCAAGACCAAAAAGACTTATTTGTTTGCTCGATGATACATAAAAATCACTGTGGCTGGGATATATTACTTTGATTTATGCTCATTTAAGGGAAAAAGGTATACCTAGTACCTTTCGCGATAAGACCAAAACGCAGGAGCTCGTTGAAATCACTAACTGGATCGACTGATCCAATAGCTCGACTTTCAGCAACCTCTCCAGCATCCGCCAATGCAGTATCCTCGTCGTTTCTACGACACAAATGCAAGACTGGTTAGGCTCCTATCCATTCCAACGCACTCGCTACGGAAGAAAGGAGAGAGACCACTTACTCGACAGCTTCCGTATTTATGCCAAACAAATCAGCCGCTATGGCGCACCTCCGCTTCCGATTAGCTTCGCGTTCGTCCGTGTCCTCGCCGCCTCGTTTCAGTTGGAGAATAGCGGTTGTATTTTCATTGGGCGTGACCTCCGGCATCACACGCTTTAACTCGCGCACAGCGCCGCATAGCGACGAGGAGGAGGGGGCTGAGGAGGTAGTAGCGCTTGTGGAATCTGGGACGCTCTTTAATTGTCTGTCGACTGCTGCGAGAACCTGTCCAAGACCGGGAAAAGCATCGGGATCCAGAGACGGCCAACCGTTGGTCAGTGTTTCTACTTCGGACAGAGCAGTCTTGCCCAGACCTCGCTCGCGAACAACATTGAAGAAACGCTGGATCCAGGGATTGCAAACACGTTTTGGGTTGACAGAGGCTCCCAGCCTTACGTGATCATCTCTACAAACCGTGGTTACATCGTGCTAGTAGAGGCCCAATGAGCAGCAAGCATGCCTCAAGGACAGCTGCCATTTTTTTCCCCGATTCATCATTCAACACTTATGACCATTCTGCATTCTGTAAATGTACACTTTATTAGTAAAAATGTGACAGTTGAATAGTGGATTCACATTACCAAAAGAAGTAGGATTTTGGAATTAAATATGCCAATGAAGATATCTTCGCCTTAGGCTGACGTAAGGATTTGTGCAGTCAAACTTCAAGGCAAGAATGAGTTGAGAGAGTGAGTTGAGATCATACGCCATCTAGCAGCATCTAAGACCATGGAAAAGTGTAATTTTTGCAGGAATTATTCGATCTTAATTACTTGAATTACTCATTCTAGTGCACTATTTTATAAACAACCATAAACAGTGCCTTTCAACTATTTTGGCACAACCAAGCGAACTATAGCATGTGGTTGGTGATCTTACTTGTCAGCCTTGTCATTTGCGCCGCCTAGCCTGTCTCCTTTACTGTCGCGGTCGTCGTTGTCTTCGTCGTCGTCGTCATCAGAGTCAAGCATCATGCTTGTGATGAAGGCATCCATAGCGGCGATCTGCTCTTCATTGGGTCGCCATCTCAACTTCAGTAGCTTCTGATCAAACTCTTCTTCCTTTTCCTCCCCGTCCTCAATTGTTGTTTCAACAACAGGGAGACTTGGAAATGTGAAGGCTCGAATGTCCTCGCGGAAGGCCAAGTCGTGGTAAATTAGACCAGCTCCTGAGGAATTAATTCTACCAACAACCAACACATGCATACAGACAGATGGGGCTAAATATTTTTTTGAAGAGGACAATTAAGAATGATTTGAGTCACATAAAAGTGAACCTAAAGGATAATTTTTGTAAAAATGGGAGTCCGATGACAGCACCATAACGAAAAGTAGAAATGGGTTTCGATCTAACCAAAAAATTCTTTCCACTCTGCAAATAGGCTACGCTAAAATGCACCCTATGAAACCAAAAAGGATCTTCCCAATTTAAGGTGACTACATTAACTTGCATGCAAACTTTGAAAAATTTTAGGATTCTGGCGTATTTTACACCCATTATAAAAGTGGCAAGTATGCATATAATCTGCAATACCAGTAGTGAGAAAATTATTGAACTAGGCTGGAATTACAACTACCTTTAGTGAGAATAACAGCAACAATTTTATGAGTTTGTCAAGTATGTTCTATCAAGCTGAGTTTAAGCAGAAATCTAGAATGAATAAGATGAGTATCAGAAGTGGCTAAGTAAAGAATGAATGCTCCATGTGGGACTTTACTAAACCAATTGAACAAGATTTCGATTTGAAATGTAAGTGTAGTAGAGTAAACATTGCAAAAACAGGAAGAGCGATCAATGTGACCTTTTCCAACTTACTTAGGTATCATAACCCCCAGGACAGGTGCTGATAGGCGTGAGGAGACACGTCTCACCAATGCAACCGAGTCCAACTCGATAAGAGCCTGAACTAGCGCCGAGACCGCGATAGCTGCAGAATTACGAGACTACTCATTTTAAAAAGTAAAAAATTAAAATGACCGCATTCAATGAAACTTGAGCAGCATTAAATCTTGAAAGACACACTGTTTGGAAAGAGGATTTTTTCGCCTTTTTAGTGAGTGGAGCATCCGCCACGAAATACATAACCTTGTCACCAACATAGATATTTGATGTGATCTAAAATGATGAAAAATTTTACAAAACATTTAGAGCATTGGGGAAATGTGGGTCTCGCATTAATTTTTCATTGAATTTACACTTAGAAAAACGTGCTCGATGTTTAGTTATCTAAAATAGAATTGCAAGATTGTAATTCTCTTAATGGTAATTGGTCACTCTCAAGGCCACTTCGCTTTAAATAAATTCGCATTAGCATATTACAGGCTTCTTTAAGTAGGGTGAAGTTCAGCACCGTACTGGGCCGTTGTGTTGTGAAACAGGTAGCATAGAGCGGTAAACATGCCCAGAACTAAAAACACTCATAATTGAGTCGTCTGCCTTATTCATTTCATACTTTCCCATGAAAATCACCTTTAAGTTCACTTGTAAGACAATAGAAAACGTGAGGTTTCATGCGCAATTCCTTTTGGTCACTTAATCAGCTTTCACTACCTCCACCAGGAGTCATCTCACAATGTATATTAATTCGTATGACGCACAAAATACAATGACATTAAATAAGCTCATTTCATTCGCCCACAATCCAATCGTAAACCTCGTATTCGTGTAAACAGACGTCTTCCAACGCCTTATAGAGTGGGAAGTATAAAGGACTCAACTTACGTTTGCCGATTTGGTAAATCCGATGACAGCCAAACATTTCTCACTCTCCACCTTTATTTTGTCCTTATCTTCCTTTGTGAAGGGGACCAGAGTAGTCCCATAGCGATATCCTGTAGAAGGAGTTAAAACATCAACTAATTTGTATTCGAGAGACCAGAACACTATCAAACCAAGTAGAAATAACTCCTTTTGGTTCTCATTAGGATGGCCCGTAATAGGACAATGATGAGAGCGGAGCTCGGGTTCCATTCAAAAAAGCAGAAGTATTTTTCATAATCCTGCCAAAGGTGTACAAATAAGGTGAGCAGAGGCACGCAAGCCCACTGACTTCGAAGACCGAAATGAAGGGACAACACGTTCCTCTGGATGGTAAGCACGAGAGGTGCTACCCTTGAAGTCGCAATTAGACTGTTTACATTATTACGAAAATGCACAAGTACGTCCACAGTTTCGGGGGTTTAAAAATGAGATGAAAAATCGTTTCATCCTTTTTAAACCTGAATGTTTTTGGGCAAATAATGCATTACGAACAGATCAAAATACTAAAAAAGCTCAGTGGCATTTGCAGCTATGGATTCGGGTGGAACAGGCTAAAATTGAAAAGCTGGCGGCATATGTTTGATGACTTTGTTTCCAGCTTGCATGATCAACCACAGCTTCAATGGACGTGATCAGTCAATTAGTGTGCTGCGGTTTACAGCAGCCAAAATAACCTGCAATATTATTGAGGGATAGATGAGCCGATTCTATAACAGCACCGAAGCATTCAACTACACGAAACATAAAAAGCGCTATTGTATTCAACAAAAAAGTTGGACAGTCTCCGCACCTCTCCAACCGCTACAGCATACTCTAAGCGGTATTGAAGAAAAAAATGTTCAAGACAAAAAGCAGTAGAAAACTCATTAAGTTCAATATCTCCTATCTGCGCCGTTTAGTCAGTTTCAGTGCTTTTTGAAATGAAAAAAAGTGGGTGCAAACCAGAGACAATTTCAGCAGCAGAGACTTCCGTTTGCGCCTCGTCGTGAAGATGAAACGTGGTGACGGCGGTGACCTCAATAGGGGGATCTTGACTAGCGAAGGAGTGAAGGGTGGGGGGACGGGCAGGGTAGAGGATGCGGTAGCCGAGAAGAGGCACCCGAAGGGCCGTTTCTCCGATGCTCAGCTCAACCTTCCACGGCCTTGAGGGGGCCTCACAACGTTCTATCAGGCATCCACCTCCACTTTCTATCACCTCCCTCTCGTGTGAGTTGGTAAAAACGATCCAATTATAAGTTCACTTTCAGGCAGTCCTGGGAGCAATGCTGCTATCTAATATAACAGCCGATTACTACATCGCTGAATGAAGATAAATTAGTACCCAGACCCGCCCTTTTGTATACCAATAGAAGGGTCGGGTTAACAAAATAGTTCATAAAACAGTGGCTGTGTTTACCTATGAACAATGCAAATACTCATAGTTTTAACAAGATCGTTTCCTACTTAAAATCAACAAAACTTATCCAATTTGCAGCTTTTAACA